AAAAGGCAGTCCCAGTCCAGTCCGTTTTGCAGCAAGTACCAGACTGGGACTGCACATCTTGAGGGCCTGGGACATCGGGCAGGCCCAGACCACCAAACGAAACAGTATAAACAAAGAGGCAGCGATCAGTCATGGACTCATTCTGAGACAAACCACGCGGAAGCGCTGCTTGAGTGACTTGTGCATTGAGTCACAGGTGGTCAGCAGCAGAGCCCGGGTTGAAGAGGGCAATTGGCCATAGCCGCAAAAAGGAGGAAGACGACGGCGGCCATAGCCGCCCGTGTGTAGAAGATAGAAGATAGAAGATAGTGTTTGTGAGTGCAGACATTCAGGGTAGACCCAAGTGTTGTGTGTGTACGTGCGTGTGAGTGTGTCTGATGGTGGATACAGTGTTTAGGTGGGAATTTCAGACTGGCGCTCAGACGCCACAGCCGCAAGATGTGACAAGTTGCCTTGAGCCGAGTTCCTGGCCGAAGGCCATCTCCCTGAGTTTTCTGTGTGGGCGCACTGCGCCATCTCAAACTTGTTGCCGATTCTGCTTTGAGGAAGTTGTTTTGCCATCGGCATCTGCATGTATGCATGTTGGACGTGAAATCGACACGAGTCTAAATGCAAATCCAGAAAATAGAAAAAAAAAAAGGGCCAAGTGCATTGTTTTTAGTTTTTTTCTTTCCTCTTTCAAGAAGCAGCCGTGCAAGCCGATCAACCTCTCTGTGTACCAATCACATATGTGTTTTTTCTTTTTTGTTTTTTGACCCCCTCCTCTCATGCACGTGGCCTTTTTGGGAATGTGGCTGAAAACATAAACCTACAATTAGGAGGAAATGTGTCCACTTCTCTTGGTGTATGCGTTTTTGCTCAGGTTTCTACCGCTGTGTGCCAATGACATATTTTCTCTGTTTGTATTTTGTCGTGTGTGCCCTCTGTTGTATTCTGTCATGGCTTCCCTTCCCTTCTCTGTCAATTATTTTCATTTCTTTGATAAATAGAAAAACCAATTCAAGTAAGATACACACAATACTGTCTGTCCCCCGTGAGCTTCCGCCGCGGGCGGAGCCGCGGCGAGTCCCTTTGTTTGAGTAATTCTTCTGAGAGCAAAAAAATGCAGAAGTCGGGGTACTTTTCCCGTTGGCCCACAAGTGGTCGAGTGGCAAAAATGGAAAATCCAACAAATCGGCGCGGCACTTTGTTTTTTTCCTGATATTTTTCCCCCCCTACAGGATCTCCAATTTTCAGATTTTTTCGTCAATTCTTATTAGCGTGAAAAATCGCCAAAGTTGGCGCTTGAAAATTGCGGGACTGGACCCACCAGTGCCTACTAGTCACCCCTAAATACCCGGTCCGTATGGCCAGGAAAGCCGAATTTAAGCCGTCTGGGGGAGTGGTGGTTTAATTCAGGGGACTTGGGCAGCGTTGGCCAAGACATAATAGAGGATGGGCACAGGTCTTTTTCAAAAATAGGGAACCGGACTCGTTGAGCGAAAACAAAAAGCCGACAAATGGTTTGACATTCAGCATGGGCTTTTCAGCTGCACAATCTACTTCATCGTTCAGAAATCGGAATAAAGTGCTTGCCATTTTGTTATACTACAACACCAATACCCTGCCCACTTATATTTTTAGGACCTCCTGAATTCAAGGGAACCTTGGGCAGGGTTGGCCAAGACACACTAGAGGCTTGGGCGGGGCTCATTTAAAAATTGGGGATATCGAGCGAAAATGAAAAGGCAACAAAATTCCACAATAAAGCTGTCCAGAAGGTGCAAGTTATTGCCTCCACCTCTAAGGGAAGGCAATGGTTCAATCCAACAGAACCGCTGAGATACTTCTGGGTATAAAAATATCAGAGTCGGGTCCATCACAATCCATGGTCTCTCCGCGACGAATCATCGTTCGATAATGTTCTCAATAAACTAGTAGGTTTATATAGGACCACGCCCGTCTCAGCAGATTGAAACTGTGGACCAAATTTCTTCAGCGTGCTTCTTTTGAACTTAGTGCGATATTTAAGCGCTAAGGTCAATGCACAAGATTCCTTCATTAAGTGAACTATCGACCATAATGATGATCGATTGTCCACGAAAGAGTAGTAATTCAGGATTCTGCGTAAATTATGGCAAAAATGCTAAACTTGGAGCATGGTCATCAGTCCACACCTCCTTGCACAGGAGGGCTATGATGGATGCTTCAAAATTCTCAATGTACACCTTGTGTATGCCGCGACAGTATGCCCTAGTTCCAACCTTACAATAAACCTGAGGTCACAGGTGGAAAGGTAGGATGAAGGTACGTGATCAGGTAACAGCAAAGAGAGCCTTGAGCATCATTGATCCGGAACTCCAGAATCCAGATCAAGGCCTTGCAGGCCAAATGGGAAGTGAAATTAACTCATAATACTCATCAGCTTCCATGGGTACTGTTTGCTCTGGAAAGAATTACAAGGTAGGTAAAGTATAAAACTCTGAACAACATCAGTGGACTATTTTGGCTCATGAGTAAATCATGGGCAAATGTAGGAACAAACAAAAGGGGTTGACCAGAGGAACAGGGGGTGCAGCAGGAGACCCAGGAGGACTACTGGAGGCATCTTCTCAAATTGTCGAGTGAAATCTTTCCGGCCAAAGTCTGCATACCCAGAACCAGAGAGGAAGTCTTGGGACAACCAATAGTCTGCAAAGTGTGGATAAAAGATGAGGGGGATAAGCCAAGAACACAAACAGCACAATATTCTAAATGAGGTACTCGGCTCGAACATGGGATCTGCCAAATAAAGCAGTTATGGTCCGAGGAACAGGCCAATGGAACACGGTAAGGGAACTAAGGAGAGGGCTCAAATGAAGTCACAAGCTATTGGAAAGCTTAAATGATGAGCTGGTTATTGATTCCGGCTGAGCGGATGGCCCTGCAAAGGAGGGGGCACCAACGGGGGGGGGGAGATCGGGTAAACTGGGAAAGAGGAGGCAGCACCAACAGAGGTATTCTGAGTGCAGTAAAGGGAGGGCCCATGAAAGAACTGTTTGCATAGGCACATATATGAAATACAGGAGCCCGGGACAACAATGAGTAAGCTTTCACAGCGCTCAAAGACTTGGGTCTCCATAAAAGAAGAGCAAGCCCAGAAGGTGAGAGTTATTGAAAACGATGAATTTACCATTTACTGCCCTACGGTGGCCATCAAGGACTTGGAGATGGATCCAGTGCAGTGGGTTGGTAACCTAAAAGGAGGGCAGTTAAAAGTGGCAGTAAGAGCTAACATTCTTCACTACAGAACAAATTTGGTGTACCAACTCAGAATCCAAGAGCTAACATTCTTCACTACAGAACAAATTTGGTGTACCAGCTCAGAATCCACTCCCTACCAGTTGGAACAGTGTTAGAGAGGAGAGAGGATACTCAACTGGGAATACCACCGGCGCAACTACAAGGATTTCCTTAAGACACAATCAAGCACTATTAATTTGGGTTGAGTGAGAAGCATGCAACAGTTGAGCAGCAACCTGACACTACCGATAAATGCATGGCTGAAAGCACACAGACGTAAGAAAGCAGAACGCCTCAAAAAGAGAACTGTGTAGTTTGCACTGAAGGGGTGAAGGACACCGTTGAGCCATTGTCTGCTGGACTCCTCAAAGGCTAGGCAGGTATGGCAGGTAGTAAGGGAGCAGTGGAATAAGACAACCACCATTCCCAAAGAATCCAGTGACTATACTCCTAGGGACGCAGACTAGGAAGCCTTGGTCACATTTTGAACGTAACTGCGATCAAGAGTCGCATCAGTACGGCCTGTGGATAATCTGGAAGAGCTGATACCAGACAACTACAAAAAGTAGAATCAGTACACATTCGAGAAGAAGAGGAGGGGCTCAAAGGTCTACTCGAGGCGGACATTACAGCAAATGAAAACGAACCATGGAGATGATTGAGAGAATTGAAAAAAATCAAGAGAGATATGGGACAGCTTTGTCCAGGTAGAGGAGGGGGGGGAAGGGGGGGAGGGTGAAGGGGGAAGGTAGCAAGCATAGAAGGTAACAGACGTAACTTCACATGTCGGCCAAGGCCCATGGCCCAGCAGGTCCCATCAACTCTAATGGATCGGAGTGTGGCAGGACAGTCAAATCGGAGTGTGGCAGGACAGTCAAGTTTGAGTATGGGGCCACCGTAACTGGAGCAGGGGGCACGGCATAGAAAACAGGAAGCTTTTGGAGCATAAGAGGACTCAAGGACACATGCAGGGATAACGAGGTAAAAGTAGTCAAGGGACAGGAGGGGGTAGGAACTAAATGGGGGTGGTACGAAATCAGGAGGCAGGGGGATAGAAGGTACAAAGCAGGTCAGGGAAAATCTAGGTTGCCAGTAATAGGTTATCTTAGTGGAAAGGGAAGGTAGGTCAGATCACAGAAGACGCAGAAGTAGTAGTGGATGGAATAGGGACAAGGGTGAGTACAGGTAAATCCTCCCGAAGGAAGGTGTTGCGAGGTCCTGTTTTTCAGCTGTAATAAAGATTGTCAAAATAAGATTGTAACAAGGGATGCTGGACCCGATTTTCAGCAGGCGCAGCTCGCCACCAGTAGAAAGAAGCAGTTTTCTTTGTTGAAAAAATAAAGAAAGAAGAAGAAGAAGAAGATTGATCTTCAACAAACAAAAAAAAAAAAAGAAAAAAAAGTGAAAAGCAAAAAAAAAAAGAACAGCACGATGAATCAAAACTTCAAAAGCACTGTCTGCTCTACATTTTGCAGTTGCTTCTGCGTTTTCCCAAATGCTCAGGGAACTGACGCAAGTAGATTCACAAACGCACTCACCATTGCCGGTTTAAGCACTTATGCATGCAGTCCACATGTCACAGCTTTAAGCACACATGCATGCAGTCCACATGTCACAGCTTGGGTTTCACATTCAACGTATAGCACTGAATAGGTATGATTCTATGAGCATGGGTTCAGTGGAATTTAAACAGTAATTCCCAAATGAAAAGTACAGGGGAGTTCTGGAAAGGCCATTACCAGCAACATCCCATCACTGGCAGTAATGTTCTCTGGGATGACAACAAGCAGAGTCTGAATATCAGCTCTTAAAAGCATTCGCTTACGTGTGGCAGAGACATATCTGCAGCATCAAGAAATCAAAAAGCATACAAGAAATGAGCCAACCCTGCCCTGCCTCTCTGGGGCGACAACAAGCACTGTCTGAATGTCAGCTCTTCAAAGCATTCGCTTATGTGTGCCAGAGACATATCTTCAGCATCAAGAAATTAACGAGTATACAAGCAATGAGCCAACCCCCTGCACTCCACCCCCGATAAAGGACAATGCAAGTACGTCAAACAAAGAACCACACTTCACAAACGTCAACTGCATCAGGGCACAAAGCTCATGAACCTTTGTCACTTTCTTGTGAAGGTCGCCCTCATCGTCAGCTAACTGTGAAGAGTAACAGACACCCACTTGCAACTGAACACATTGTATAGTAATAGCAAGTTTCAGAAGCGGTGTTTCCAGATGAGAGGAGAACTCACTCCGCCTTGTGAAGAGTTTGTGCATGCAACGTTCCAAGTCCGTTGAGAGCAGAGATGATCTGTCGACAATGACATAATCCAAAAGCAGAGAAAAGAGAGGAACTCATCATTCATCAGCTTGCCCCACGCAATTACCTTCTAATATGCTGCAAGCAAAGCCACAATCAGCAAACATTCAAGGAGAAATGAGCCTCCCTAACAAGATACACTGCATACTTAGTAGCATGGAGTTTGTGCAACAGATCAGGTGTGCCTGCACCCTGTGCAATACACGTAAGGTGCGGACGGTCTGAACCGTTCCATAACTGCTCGTCGATGAATCTGCGATGACCTGCACAGTTGCAGACTTGCGTCAGATTTCTGCATTTATGATTTTTCTGAAAATGTCTTCTTTTTTCCTTTCTTTTTTTTTTTATAAAGAAAGCTGCAGTTGCGAGGCCATTGCCTCTATGAGCCCCATAAGGCCCCATTTTTGCAGCCCGTCGGCCACCCTAAGTGAAGGCAGGCTCGACGAGGCCTTCAGGGCCCTTTTCTGGCCACCACGCAACTCAGGGAAATTCAGGCAGTTGCGCAGCGCCAGTTGGTTGAGTGAACCCAGGCCCTGGGCCGCCTGTGTGAATGTATGTGAARCAGGCCCTGGGCTGGATACGGGTACCAGGCCAAACACAGGCCGAAGGCAGTTGGGCACAKGCAACCACYTCAGGCCYAAGGYCTGYTCTCGTCGTGCTGGGCCTCAGGCTACCGGGGCCTACTGGAAGCTTCCTGGGACTGGACGCAGGCAGGCCACTTCGATATAGGAAAGGGCCTGCCTCTTCATTCCGCATTCGGGTGCTGGCTGCATGCTGCGCAAGCGCTGCTGCTGCGCTATTTGCTGGCTGGTGCCTACGCTCTCACGGGCGAGCAGGGAAGGAGCACGCAGCCATAGCCGAGCTGCGCTGCTGTAAGCTGGGTGAGGCGCAGGGTGGTCCTTGGGTGCTAGTGGCATCTGTGAGTTGGGGAACGAGGTTGTGAGTGTAGCGCGAGACATACCTGGTGCTGGAAGCGTGCGACATTGGTCGCCATATGCTAGTACTTCGGGAATGCTGTTGACGTCATCTTTCGGCTTCGTAGTATAGGCTAGATAGGATCTGTCACATGTAGTCTGGGCGCCGAGCGCCAGATAGGATATCAACTCTGGTTCTTCGTTGATGATGATGGGACTATTTCAGCATTGTCAATTATGAACTCTTGGTGTGTTCTTATTTGGTGAATCTCGTGATGCAATTCTGCTGTTGGTTCGAGGTCACGGCTATCTGGACTCATATGTATGATGCTGTTTGATTGTTGAAGTTCGCTATTGCTCATCTTCCTTGCAATTTGGTATCGGAGCTGTGGTACGATTGCCCTCATCTGGCGCTTGTCTTCTGCCTTATGCGGTACATACATGCGGTCTGCTGGGCGAGTTTGGCCGTAAGTGGTGTGTAGTGAGGAGGGTGGAGACGAGTGTAGTGGCGACCCAGGAGGTGAGGGGATCGCCAKGAAGGCTATGTGAGGGGAATGTGGTCTGGACAGTGTGATGAGAACTATCTAATGTGCGATTGATGCTGAGGTGGAACGGCGAGATAATGCTGGTTGTGCCGATGCAGTGACTGGTCATCGCCATCGCCATCGGGTCATCTGGTGAGATTATCTCTGTGGTTGGGGGCAGCTAATTGAGGTACGTTGCTCTTAACCTTATCATTCCCTCTCCGACACTTCTTACCGTGAGGTTGTGTGTTCCTTCTTGAGAGTCCTCTCATCGTGAGGTGTCGAGTGCGCTCAACCTTGAGAGTCGGCAATGTTCACGTAGAGCATCTGGGTGGAGATGGGCGGAGCTTTCTGAAGGGCCCTGGACGAAGCACTGGGTCACGGTCACCATGCCAACCCACAAGGAGTAGAGCACGCATGCCTTGCTGCTTGTCCTTTGTTCGGCTTGCTGCGCTGTTAGATAGGTACTACTGGGCAGCCCAGCCCTACAGGAAAGACGAGCACCCGGCGTCTATAAATAAACACAGGAAGGGGATATCACTGGCTGTGATGGTCGTCCTGCAGCAACGTAAAATAATTCCTGATGTCACTTGGGGGCGGACGTTAAAATGCCTCTTGATCAGCCAGTGATGTAAGGCTCGCGATACGCCGAGGATAAATATACGTGCAAGGTTGGCCAGCTCAGCAGATACTCGGGGCACAGGGGTGGGACGGACACACACCTTTAGACACGCAACGCTCTCCAGATTGCTCAGTGATGCTGATGTCAAGTGATACTCAGGGGAACTAAGGGAGGGGTTGATTCCAGGTGATAAGTTCGAGAAAACTCCATGCTGTCCTATCCATACAAATGATTCTATTTTTATGTTTTTGATTAGTTAGATGTACTGCCATTGACATCTGACAGACAGCATTAGTAAGAACTGTTTATTGTTCCTGGTGCTTCTGTTTGCGGACTAGTCAGACTAAAAATAGTTTCAGTTGTAGGAATCTGACTTACCTGTTGACCTCAAGTGATATCTGTTCCAAACTAGTCACCAACTAATTAGTTGGTCTGAGCATTATGTTGCAGTAGGCACCTAGAGTGTCCTAGTGTAGACGGTGCACAGCGTTGTAGCCTATGAGCAACCAGGAGAACACACACTTGGACGACCGGATCTTGCGATCAGCTAGACGCCCAATAGCCCACGTGTCCCTAGGACTGGAGGGTAATAGGATTCTGTTCCCCCAGCTTAGGGAGAGACAGCAGCAGCAGAGGAGAGCTAGAGCAGCCGAGGCCAGCAGGGCTTTAGTTAGCGGGGCCGGTGCTACAGCAGCCATGGCAACGTCCGCCATGGTCACTTCTGCGCAGCAGACTTCCCAAGCCAGCAGTTCAGGTGCCATCGGGTCAACGGTCGCGCAGACCGTGAGTCAGTCCACTGGCGTTATGGCAAGCCAGGCAGCCGTGTTGACTCCAGAGGATGTCGCCATCCAGCAGGCAGCCCTGCAGGAGGCACAGCTACAGCGGGAAAGTACAAATGATTCCAGGTGGTAAGTAGCATAGTTTTCTTCCCTTTCTTTCTGTTTACACTTCAATTGTCCATTTGCTGATTTTCTTGAAGTTCTGAGAATGTCTTCTGTTAGCCTGATTTACTTACTTTGTCGAGTCTGTTGTGCTGTGCGGTATGTGTACTCGAAAATCTATCTGATGCTTGTTGAGTCCGAGTCCTTGGCCCTGTGCTAACTGTGTTTCCGTACTGTGTTTCTGAGCCCAGTGATAGACCAGTAGCCAGCAGCAGTTACACTGGTAGATTGAAATATGGGCAATGGACAGAGACAAAGGTAGGTTTTCTTAAAGACCTGGTAGGTATACTCCAGTAACTCAGGTAGGCCCTGAGGTCCAGTATGCCAACGGGTAGAGTCGTGATGGTGCCGGGCGCCACGTAGTAAGCATTAGTTCTAGGTACGGGTTGTACAGGTAGGGTTATAGTCTGCAACGATGCTCCTGCCAAAATGAGGTAACTGATAGGCCGAGTAGGTCTACGAGTAGGCCAAGAGAGGAGGTAAGAAGCCAGAGTCAGGACTATAATTTGGTGCAACCAGTAGACTGGGTATCCACTCGGCAGTCACCCTACTACTCCACCTTGAGGGAGAGTGAGGTGGAAAACTGGAGGAAAGGACTTGAAGGTGAGCAAGAAGACCTTTATGGTTGTGGAGGACCAGTAGAAGTCAAAGGAAACTAGGGGACCTGTTGCGGCACACACACACACACACACACACACACACACACACACACACACAAACACACAAAGGTGGTGATAGACTCTCTCTCTCTCTCTGGTGCGTGCACAGGCTTGCGGATTTTCCACTTCTTTTTAATTGGTCCCGATGGACCATCCTGCTCAAGCCCGTGTCTACTCCCTCCCTCTGCTGCGTCCCCGTACACACACACACACACACACACACACACACACACACAAACACACACAAACGCACACACAAACACACAAAGGTGCCGATGGACTCTCTCTCTCTCTCTCTCTGGTGCGTGCACAGGCTTGC